CAACCACACATTTTTCAATAAAATAATATTTTCCATCACATCTATAATTTTTCCTTCTTTTTCAACCACACATTCTCCATCAATTTACTATTCCAGAATACATTCTTCCAAAATAATGTGGTTCAAACACACCCTTATTTATTCACTTCTTTCTGGAACGAAAAGTGAAGCTTTTTATTCAAAAGTGGCCTTTTTGCTGCCTTCTTCTCATATTAGCATCTCTGGCTATCATGTATGTTTTTTTTATAGAATGGAATAGTCGTCCTTAAAAGGCTGTGGAGATCATTAGAATGTGATTGCACGTTTCTCAGTTGGATTTCCCCATGAGATTATGTAGTGGTCAAACAAATACGAGTAGATTCAAAAATTTTCTCTTCGTTTCTTTTTCCTTCACTAAGTTTTAGAAGTATTATGGTTGTATATATGCATATCAAACAATCTGAACTCCCAGATTTGTACATTTTGTTTTTCTTTTCAAATTGATACAGCATGTTTTGTATACTGCAGAATAAATTCTCAGTGAGAGAATTGATAATGTGCATTTTGAGTCAATTTTATTGCTTACTATTTCTGTTACAAGTATCATGTTGCTAGGCTGTCTTTTGGCTGAAGATTCTCCACACGGTCAAAGTAGTGATCATAATGTGTCATCGACATTGATTAAAACAACTATAAGTTCTGCTTGTGATTCGTTCAAATTCTGGCATATGTTTGATCATATTTTACTGAACGGATTTGTTTATGCCTCTATCCACAGGTACAATGTGGCTTAGCCCGAAGCGGTTATCTTTGGGCCCATGAAGCTTACGGTGTATACCCAGATATAATGACCCTCGCAAAGCCTCTAGCCGGAGGTCTACCTATTGGTGCTGTGCTGGTAACCGAAAAGGTGGCTCGTGCAATAAATTTTGGAGATCATGGTAGCACTTTCGCAGGTGGTCCTCTTGTTTGTAGTGCTGCAATTGCCGTGTTGGATAAAATTTCGAGTCCAGGCTTTTTAGCCAGCGTCTCAGAGAAAGGTCAATATTTCAAGGAACTGTTAGTTAAAAATTTGGGAGGAAATTCGCATGTGAAAGAAGTACGAGGTTCAGGACTGATTATCGGCATAGAGCTCGACGTATCTGCCTCCCCCTTGGTCGATGCATGCCAACAGTCGGGTCTTCTTATCTTGACTGCAGGAAAAGGAAATGTTGTTAGAATTGTGCCACCACTGATCATATCGACTCAGGAAAT